GTTAATAGCATTCCTTGGTCACTGGATGCAGTGTTTCTAATATATGTCCTTGTACACAGGTTTGCTGAGGCCCCTGGTTCCACTTGTAGCTCAGGGCTGTGCTCGGGGGGCACCTGGCCTTGCTGCACAGATGTCCAGCAAGTTCTCAACTCTCCACCTGAGTCGCCCCCTCCCAAAACCCACACTCAGCTCCTCTGGCTGGGTCTCAGGAGTTGGCCAGAATCATATCCTGCCTTCAGATGGCATTATCCAGAGGTAAGTAGGGATGTGTGTGGGAGGGTATCCCAGCTCAGTTATCTGTTTCTCTCGGACAAACATGTATTGACATGAGTTGCAGTTCTGATCACTGCTTCAATGCTGCTGTTTGATGAAGAGTGCCAGAAGTTAGATCTATATACCATATTTCTTCAATTTCATTAGCTATAGGAGATAGGACTAACAGTCTTTTCCCATTCGCCTCTGTCCTGTCCCAAAGGGAGTAGATATTTGAGCAAAAAGGAAGTATTTCATTTTTTGAAAGCATGTTAGTGCCTGTTTTTTACAGCAAATGTATTTTAAGTGGTGATGAGACTTCTGGTAAATACTTAAGCATACAAGCAAGAAATGTCTATGCCAGGACATAAATCAGCAAGGAAAGGATCTCAGCATTACTGTGCACAAATGCTGATGGCTCACAGATTTACATCTATAGGTGTTGGCAAGTCATGGTGATCAAGGGTCCTCAGAGATCAATTGAATGTGCTTTCAGTAGTCTATTACCATTCCAAAAAAGCCTGGTTTATTTCTGATATATGTATTTCCACAAGTGTTTTTTTTTAAGCTTGAAATATCTCATTGGTAATTTAATGGAGAGCTGGCAACACCAGACACCCCCTTTCCCCAGCAATAGTCTGGAAAAGCAAGGGTGTGCTGTACTATGATACGATGCCATGTATATAAGCAATACAGTGCACTAATATATTAAAGCACAGTGCAGTAATGTATTTACATATTCAGAAAGCATATATACTGTTGGAAAGAAGAAACGCAACATTTTCTGGTATGAGAATACTATAGTTATAGCTTATGTAGCTCTGCTCTCCTCCCCACTGATAGCTGATGTGTGGTGAGCGTTCTGGCGCACTATGGCTGCAGTCCTGTCATCCAGGTGGATGCTGCACATTGGTGGTGGTGGAGGAGAGTCCCCATTACCTTTAAAGCACCTTGATTGGAGTGTCCAGAAAATGCTATATGAGTGTAAAGATTATTATTATTATTTTTATTGTTGCTGTTGTACTTGTTGTTGTTGTTAACACACAAGTAACTCAAACAGATGAAACAAGTAAACCAGAGTTTTTTTTTGTCTGGAAATAGGATTTTATGAGTTATTATTATTATTATTATTATTATTATTATTATGTACTTTCACAATAAGTTGTCAATTTGTTTTATAGCCCTCTCACCAGCAATACAGCTTGTGCAGTGAGGTATTCCCAATCACACGAAAGCTTGTAAAGTGCACTTTTACTCGAGCTCCAGATGGAACAATGCCTGATTAGGACACCTTTAAAAAGGCCTTAATTGAAAGCTTAGGTCACTGCAAGAAAAAAGCCACACTTAAGTCAGTTTTCTGTGCATTCAATAATGCCTCAAATGTCACCAGAAGCAAGGGAGAGGGCCTTTGGCATCCTACAGGCAGGCATGTCATGTGCCAGCGTTGCCAGACACTATGGAGTAAGCCGCTCCACTGTGCCCCGACTGCAGAGAAGGTTTCAACACACTGAAAGGACAGGTGACCATCCAAACTCCGGTCGCCCTCGAGTGACCACACCAGAGCTGGACCGACACATCAGACTGGTCCATCTGAGAGATTGTTTCAGATCTGCCACCCATACTGCTGCTGAAACTGCCAGCAGACACAATGCCCACATCAGTGACAGGACAGTGAGGCTGCATGCTGTTGGCCTTAGAGCAAGGTGACCCGTCAGAGGCCCTCTGCTCACACCTCCTAGACGTCACACCCGACTGGCTTGGGCCAGACAGAGGTTGCGATGGGCTCGTCGGCAGTGGTATCAGGTCCTCTTCACGGATGAGTCACTCTTCAGCCTGTTCCATGCAGACGGGAGGGCCAGAGTGTGGAGGAGGAGGTGTTGTGTTTCATTTTTCCATCAGTATATATTTTTCTCATATGGTAGTCTGTTATGGAGCCAAAAAAATCTCATTTGTGAGTTAACAGACATTCGACAATATTGGACACCCCCTTCTTGTCCATTAAACTGATGGTTTGTTGTACTTTGGGAGAAATGCGTGTGAGCCAGTGTTTTTGTTTTTTTGTGTGACAGAATCACACCGCTGCTACCTGGCCTCACCCACCAGCCAGCTAGGAGCCTGACATATGTTAGCCTGAGGAAGGGGAAGAGGAAGTCGGTGAAGGCTGTGGTCAAGAGGTTCCTGCGGCTTCACTGCGGACTGTGGTTAAGACGGAAGGTAATGGCAGCCTTGTGTTTGTTTATTCAGTGCTCACTTGCAAGTGAATGAAGTCTGGTAGCTTTCAGAGCACAACACTGAGTAAAACTCAAATCAAGTGAAACATTTACCAGAAGCAAACTGTGGAAAATGCAGCTGCAAACATGCCTTCCCAAATGCAGAGCGACAGCATATGTAGTGGTACAGTCATTCCGGAACCATCCGGGAGAGAACGTGGGGATCCCTGAGGTGTGTTCTGTCTGTACTTGTTAAAGTGATCCAGGCTCTTTGCTGTCGAATGGCGGCTGACTCTGTATTCTCTTGTGTCCAGGCTGGATACAAGAAGAAGCTGTGGAAGAAAAAGCCGGCCAGAAAGCGCAGGTTAAGGCAGCACGTGTTTTGTAACCGCACCCAGTCCAAGCTCCTGGACAAAATGACCACGTCTTTCTGGAAAAGAAGAAACTGGTACGCCAATGACCCCTACCAGAAATATCATGATCGCACCAACCTCAAAGTGTAGGAAACTGCAGCTGCTGCTGTGTATGTAACAATGAAAGACTGTCCAGTATTGTTGTCAAGTCAAATCAAACTTCCGGGAGAGTTGAAAAGCCAAAGTAAAAGTCATTTTGTTTCATTTCAAACTCTCTACCTGAAAAAACTCAACTATTCACCTTTACCTTTGAAGGTCAGTGATCAGCGTTATGCTGCCTCCCTGCCTGTATCATCATTTGAAAGCCGGAGGATTTTGTGGCTGTCTACTGAAATTGTGTCAGATTAAAATTCAGGTTCTCTGAGGTGTGGAATTCCATTTTCAGTGTGGAAGTTACTCAATTAAATTTAATGTCTGGTTGCATATATTCTAAATTGCCCCGGTAGAAAAATAAACAACATAAGTAAAAAAGTGCAGTATAATTGCTTACGGGAAATGGCAGATTGAAGATATTCTATTACGGTTTCATTTGGAAAGCCCGTTCATTAATTTATATCATAAAAGGAATGGCAATGCTGTGATTTTATTGTTGCATGTGTCTGGTATTCTCTATTATTCGTATTCTTAAAATGTTTATCGATTTCGTATTCATATTAAAAGAAAGCACCCAATTCCAACAGATGAGTTTTGTTTGCATAGCTGGATTTTCTCATCACCTTATATTCATTTTTATTTTTCAGAAAGTGTTCTTTATGTAATTTCATGGTCACTCTATATATTAATCTTGAATTCACTCAGTAATGTAAGTTATCATTATCTGATCAAAATAATTTCTGAAAAAGAACATCTTCAAAAATCAGACAAAGAGCCTGAGATATTCATGTCTTATTTCTATAAATTTCAGTCTTATCAGTCTAAATTTCAGGGCTATTATTTTAAAAGGTTACCAATACCATGAGATGCTACATTTTAATATTTATCTCAAGTCAGTCTTTGCACCAGTTGAGTATGAAAACCACTAACACTTGCATCAGTTGTTACGTTCAGTTTTTAATTCAATGGCTGTGGTTGATTCAGACAGTATACAGATGGAAACGTGTGAAACACATAAAAGCACTTTGTGAAATCCATTCCAGAACAGTTCATTCATCCTTTTCAGTTTACAGATGCTGTATTTCTTATTTTATTTTAGTGAAACTGGAGAAAAGTCAAGATACAGTACATGTAAAGTTCAGGTATGATTCTGGCCTGCCAGACAAAGGAGAAATCTGGTGCAAAACAGAAATAGATCAAAGCCAGAAAGAAAAGAAAAACAAAATACAATCAGAAATCAATACTTTCACCGCTTCAAAAAGAAGGTAAAATCTTCGGTCTCAACTTACCTATCAGATTTAAAAATAGAAACCTTAAGACAATTGTCAAGATGTACTTTTAAAGAATACAATGTTCCTAACTACAATCCATGATAATAGTTTTTAAAATCAAAGATCTGCCTAAGAAGAAAATCATGCTTTCTATGCAAAAATCAACAGAATTTACAAATAACTGATACACATATATTAGAAAACACTAGCTAAATTCATACAACATTGCCATGCTATTGAATGCACTAGTGAGTGAGGCTTCATTGTGTTTACTGACATTGTATGGCTTTGTGAATTCAGTTCTACCGAAATACATCTACTGTTTCTTTTGTTTTAAAGATAGCTTTTAATGTTTGATGACTTTTTTGCCGGGTGTTTAGATGGTTCTATTTAAAGTACAACAACATAACCTACTGGTCTTTAGCAACGGTGCAGCTTTCCAAATGCAGCAACAACACAAAACCTGAAAAAAATTACAAAACCATTTTACGCAGTACACGGTTTAATTTCAATATGTACATCATATCACAAGCAGTGAACACGAAAATGTGTGTTTCGCTTGTCTATAAAAATTCACTAAATTGCTCAACTTAAAAGCATTCTTCAGGGACACAGTGAGCAACTAACACAGTGTTCATATTTTCACTTGATCTTTATTTCTACGTTCAAGAGAGAAGGCAATTCAATCCCACTTTTAGTCCAAACAGTGAAACGATACTACATCTACGCCAACTAAGCTTCACGAGAGCGCTACTTAACCTACGTTTTAAATCTATAATTACAGATCAAAATGACAGGTAGGCCAACTTTCATTTTCCTCAGTCGGCCTTGGTGAGGTTTCTAAAGTGAAGCACAAGCCTGAGCGTAAACCATTCTGGTGAGCTTTGCTCCCATGTGGACTCACTTCCCTTAAACAGCTTGTGTGTGTCCTTGTGTGTGAATTCACAGCTTTTGACATGGGTCCGTGGCCTGTAAACTAGAGTCTGAGCTAAAATGTACTGTAACTTGCTGTGACTTGTGAGACGTAACCTGTTTAGGATGGTTATTTACATGGTGAAATTTTTGGTAGAGGGGCTTATTATCTGCAGGTGTCACCTGGAGAGCAGTAAAGTTTTCCTATCTCTGCAGCTCTGCCAGCACTACTAAACCAGGATTGTGAAGTCCACAACAACCAAAATAGTTATTCTTTACAGCTGTTGCTCTGTATTCGCATCAAGTAGCTGGGATCCCAATATACTTTTGCTGCATTTTGGCTCTGCCTCTGCAAACATTTAGGATGCTGCACAAATGACAATATTCTCAAGAAAAACAACTGCTCAAGAAGAGGGGAACTCATTATGGGCCCACACCAGTCTATTCCAGAGGCATAATGCATAGAACTCCACAAGAATTTGCTGTGATGACTTCCCCTTATTTACGATACTGAGTATCACTTAAACACTTAAGAGGAAATATAACTTAAGCTGTTTTATGCAAGTGATAAGATAAGATCACTTTTTTAGCCATATACAATTTCTTAGGAATTAGATATTAGAATTAGGAATTTGTTTTTTCACATACCCCAGCATGCTCTCCATGAGACATACAGACAGGGAGAGAAGCTTGGGGTCAGAGCGCAGGGTCAGCCATTTATGCAGCGCCCCTGGAGCAGTTGGGGTTAAGGGCCTTGCTCAGGGATTCCACTGCCAGCCATGGGATTTTAACCAGCAACCTTCCAGCCACAGGTGCAGATCCTTAGCCACAGAGCCAAAACTCTGCCCCAGGGACCACAGGGCTTAGCTACTGTCACCTTCCTATTTTGAAGTCGCAGAGTTACAGTCCACTAAATAGGGAGCAGTTTACATTAATGTCCTCCTACAGCATTTGTTAGGAATTTTAAGGAAGGTTACAGACAAGAGGGGGCTATTTGGCCTATGAGGCCCATCTGGTAGATTGTAGTTACATGATTAAAGGATCTCATCTACCCATTTCTTGAAGGAAGTTAAGAGTATCAGCTTTAACAACATGGCTGGGCAACGTGTTCCATATCCCTAAGTTTTGTGGATCAGTATAACGTTTATGCATTAAAAATTATTGTTTATATGAGTTAGTTCATAGAGACCATGATCAGCAGTAATCTTGGCTAACCAACGTGCGTGTTAATTTAATGAGTCCATGACTAGTGCCGATCACAAAGACCAGTGACCTTGACCAGTTCATAAAATTTGCCATTTTTTTACATTTCTTGGCAATCAATAAAACAATGAGCTATGGATTTACCTATTAATCGCATAAGGTATCAAATAAAATAGTCACTACAACTGATTTTGCAAACGGGACTCTAACCTTTTTACAACACAGACTGTTTTGCTTTGAGATGTAAAGTGTGCAGCAGGACCTAACATAGATCTTTTCTTTAAAAACAAAGTGCAGAACACAGAAGAGATGTGAAGCATGGCAGATACTTAAGGCCCAGGATTCTACAAATCGTAGAAAAATCTTACTGTTTAAGGGAGATTCAGCTCTGTTTCCCCTTATCCTCTGTGCAGTACATGTTGCGCTAGTGTACGTGCACTCGAAGGACACCTCAACTCCACATAGGTGATTACTAGGAAGCACAGAATGGACACACATTAGCATCGCACAGACCTGGCTCTCCAGCTGTCCCAGCAGTAGCAGCCTCAACAATGTAATGCTAATGTATCTACCTGTATAATGAAGGTGGAATTTTTGCTGGAACAGTCGTAGTTTTCAAAACAAGCACAACAATACATAGAATGCTACAATACCTTTCAGAAACAATTAAAAACAATGTCAAATCCAGACACGTTAATAAACCTTAAGACGAGGAAACAATATAAAAATTAAGATCTTACCTCCTCCTAATAAACCAAACAATTTCTATCTCTGTTCCTTTTTTTATGTTAACGAACTAGGAGTCACCTTCACTCTTCTACATGATTTGGAGCTCTATTTTGACAGTTTGATGCAATGGACAATGCAAATGTGTCTCTACAGGCACACTGAGTAGATGGAAGTCAATAAGACAGCTCACATGTGAAGCATCACTACATCTTGTGGATGATGTTTCACTTCTTCATAGTTCGGAAATGGAGTTGAGACCCAGACAGACCTAAGGAGCTTTGTTAGCTGGACAGAAGCCATACATACTGTCTACATTTAGTTGTCATTGAGACCTATAGGAAAGAATCAGAGGATCAGCAGGGGGGTTTAGAACACTCTTGAGATGGATAGCTGAACATGGCCTGTACTTCAGTGTGCAGCACAGTTTTTGCTGCCCGGTGAGCTCAGCCAGCTCAGCTCAATTAAAACAAAACAACTATCTGCCACAGCAAATCAAAATCTGTAAAATATAAACAGATAAATAAAGCTCAAAAGCTCACATCAAGAGACTCAGACATTTACAATCAAAAAGGTAGATACATAGGCTTTCCTTTCGCTCTTAGCACATGTAATATACTAGCCAAGCCTGCACAGTGGAGCCTGGATAAAATGCTGCATTGCTCGGTTTCTTACTATTTTTACATTTGTTTCTCTGCTGAACTATATCTTTCCATTCACATATTCTTTCAGCTTTGCATGAACAATGTACATTTAACTCTGCTGTCAATATAAGGCTCACATTCTACATTATATTCTTTCTATCTGATCAAACCTTGAGCTTTTCTGAAGCAAGACAGTATGAAATTGCAGATGCATTTCATATCCTAACACAGGTACACTGCTAGTCTAAATCGTCCTAGTCCAAGTCATGCTTGACAGCAGCCCAGTGTATACTGTATATACAATTACCTCACCACAAGCACAGCACACACAGCACAAGCAAAGGTAGATGCATTTATCTTTAAAAGGACGGTGAACCTTTACTGCTGTAGAATTTTCTAATCACTTGAAGGAAGACTTGATAAAATAGCATTTTTAGACTCATTTCTATCTTATTCAGGTCTTTCACATTGCTATTGAATGCTACATTGCACATATTTCCTTATTAGTGAAATGCTTCCTTTCCATTAAAAAAATTCCAATTATGTTATGCATAACTACTAAATATTGATTGAGGGCATATTCATTTCAGGTAAGACAGAACTAGTACTTACATTTCTTTCATATTGCCTATAAATATTTTGTAGTTGTGCACTTTTGTCACAATATTTTAAAATGCAGCCTGTTTTTTAAAGGACGGATTGTTTCCTACAGTTCCCATGGGAAAGTGACTTAAAATACGTTACATTCCCATGGGTTTCTGTGAGTAGAAGCTAGAGGCCACTGAAAAACAAGAGTTTTTGAAGAGCCAAGGTTGCGATTTATTTCAAGCATAGAGTTTGCTGTGCTCTACATGTCCAGTGGTAACCAAACTTCACCGTCTCACTATATCTGAAATCCATTTAAAGTCACTGACAGCATTCTGTAATGGGAGACGCAGCTGTAAGAATGGTGTGCTCTATCATTATCATCTTTTCATGCTCCATTTATTTGATGATCTATGGTGCTTTAGTGATTTTCTGTTTAGCTAGAAATGATTTACATGATTCAGTGAAGGTGTAATTATTGTCTTTTCCCACACCTAGCAGTTCAATTTCACTACTGTCACTCAATAGTCCTTCAATGATCACACTAGTTTCCTGATTACACACTTAATCTATTTAAAATGCTTTTTAAAAACAATCAGATTCCTGCTGAAGGACCCATTAAAGCAAGTGACATTTCGTACAGAATGTGGTGCCGATTCTGATTGTTTTTTTTAATTAAGCTTTTTTTTTATTAACAGCTTGCAATTACTAACCACTGTAGCAAGATTTTGGCGTAGTCAGATTGGTTTTCACAGGCAATTTACCTTTTAACAGTTCCAACAGATGCTCCAAAACCCAGCTCTATAATAAAGTCTTAGTTTATGTGGATTACTAAAGTGTAGCATTACTAGGAAAACGGAGCTAAAAGGAAATGGAAATGTACCCAATATAGCATTTTACTCTAAAACCTATACATCATTCTGTCTGACCTACATCAGCTCTTAATGTCAGCTGCTGTAGTCCTGCACCACTGCCCATCCAGCTCCCACTTCATCCTCCGGGGGTGCTTTAAATGCAGGCCACCCAGAACTCCCTTTCAACGGTTCGGCTGCAGGAAAGTCCGAGGCCCCAGGAGGCCCTATCTCCCCCGTCACCTCTCTCAGCGTTGCCTAAGATACAATTACGCAACCAAAAAGCAGGCATCAAGCAAGTACGTCAAGTGTATACAGTATGTGTGTGTGTGGAAGATTGTTTCCAGGAAACGAGGCCTGACGAACGTGGAGAGGGACGTGCACAATGGCGCAGGACATCGGTTTTTCGAAAACAAATTCGAAGACCGGCACCCTCAGAACCCTCTGACAAGAAAAACACACAAAAAAAAAACAGAAAATAACTCGAACGCACAGACACAGAAACCCGATAAAGGGAGAGATGCCTTGTCAACTCTGCTGCAGGCTGTCGTTGATATCCCAGCTGCCTGGTCTTCAGTGGCTCTGCTCCTTCTTGAGTGTGGCTGCTTTGTGTGTGGGTGTGTGTTTTAGCATGGCTTCCCCTTCTTTCTTCGTCTGTTCTCTCCAGTTAAGGCAGCTAAGCGAACTGAGGATGTCTTAATCGGCAGCATCCCATGGCCTCGTGCTGTCACATGGTATCACTGTGTGAAGACGAGGTACTCTTTGTTCTGGGATGGGGCCTCGGAGCTCTAGGAGGAGGCTGAGGGAAAGGCAGGCAGAGAAGGACACTGTTAAACTCTGAAGAGGCTACCTTCTACACCCAGAAACTCCCACATACTGTACGTCAAGGAAGGGGGAGTTACTTCTTCCCAAAGATCCAGCAGAAAAAGTCTTACAGATACACATTTTTCCTATGTTGTGCAGGGCCTGGGAAGTAACAATGATCACCACATCTAAATTGCTCCAACACAAGACAGTTAACTGGAAATGTATTTGTAGAGCATGGTGTTGTTTCGCAGTGATGTGGCACCTCAGTAACAGTGAGAGGAGCACAGGCTCTCCAAACCAGTAAGCATCCCGGAAAAGCATTCGTGCACTTTCACACTTTGGTCAGCAGAGAGAAACGAGGCTCTTTCTGCGCATTCGACAAAGCATATCCCATTCCATTTTTTCACGTTCCATTTTTTTTACCATTCCAGTTCATTTTAGAACTTCACATATATTTTTTAATAGACAGGTGTTTCTGATTTTAAAGATAATTTAATTTAAACACATGGAGAATTTAATGTCAGAGGCACAGGAAATCAGATGTGATCAGAAAACCTTAACTGCACATTCAACACAGCTCTCAAATGAATGAGTTAGCATCGCCATGCTGGTCACCAAATAAACCCACACTCAGATATGGGATTACAGAAAGCAGATTCAGTTGCTACCATTTCTTGTACTGTTTTTCTGCTTTCCAGGTATGTGGCATAAAAAATGTCAACCCAGGCATTTCACATTTTTATCTTATAATCCCCCTCAAAATGCCATTATTTCAAATGGGTGAATGCAGTACAACTAACTGGTGTTTTCCCTCCTGTACATTAATTTGTGGAGCAGAAATACAGGTATAATTTTCAGTATTTTTTAAATGTAAGATTATTTACAAGTATCTCTGCTCTGGAGTTTGATGGGTAACAAACTCCTTTATTTCTCAAATGCGGTACATCGTTATGTTAAATTCATTGAGGTGACCAACGAACCAAAGCTGAGTGTCAGTGCCAGGCTTAATTAAGAGAGACTGAGCAGACCGAAGCAGTCGATTAGTCAGTACAATCAGGCTTCCTTTAAGGAACCATCAAGCTGCCAACAGAAGTACCTCGGGAGCCCTCCTCTTTACTGTCCTGGGCTTAGTTCTGATTTCCAATACATCCTCACTCTCCTGCTCCACCTCAGAGGGCGCGAGCTGCTGTTCCTTTGAGTCGCACTGCTCCGAGCTCAAGACCTCATACTCAGTAATGTCAATCTCATCACCTGAGTCCCCAGTGTCACATGCTACACATTGAAGAAAGGAAGAGCAAAAATCATACAGCGCCAGTTTCACAAAGTCTTTCGGCTGGAACCTGTCTCAGCCTAGCGCATGTTAGGTTAATGTCGAATGTTAATTCAGGACTGGGAAAGCAGTATTTGGTGTGTTGGGTACAAAACAACACAGGGCTGAGCAGTTATTCCGTTATATGGCCAGCAGGTGTCACTCCTGCCCTCAAACAAAGCACTGCCCTCATTGTTCCCCAGAGCGGAGAGGGTGCTGATCAAGACCAGAGCTATTCGCATCTTAAATCCCATTGCAATCAGGCCGGACACTCAAAGGCTGCATACTTACAATACATTCACAAGGTGAAAAACTACACACTTAATTGTGCTCATTTTGAGTGTCAATTATTTTATTTTTTAAAAACTGTATTTTCAATAACAGTTTGATTTGGCAGGGATATATACTTCTGGATAGGTAAGGTTAGAGTGGTCTTACAAGTTGTCCATGTCCGTGTTGTTTCTTTAGGAAATACAAAAATATCTATAGAGTACCTTTGTAGAGACTGTACTTGATCTTAGCCAAAAGGCCAAGGCATACAGACTATTTAAGTGGGTTATTTACAGTACTTCAATTTACCACTAGTGTTTTGACTATTATAACAACTTTGACAGTTAATACAGGTTTGGGTGGGACTAAATCAAGTTTGTAATTTAGAGACATTTCACTTATATTGATGAAAAAAGTTTTAGAAATTGATGTAATTGGCTCATTGTCAGGTATTTCTTGTCATTCATGTCACTAGCACCTGTCTACACCCCAGCCAAGCCCAAACGCTACTTTTCTTACTACAAAAATGATTTATTCTGATTATTAAACAGTTCACAAAATGGTTAAAGTAAAAGATTGTCACAGAATGGCAGCTACATAAAAAATGAAAAACAAGAAATGAAAGGAGTATAAACGATGTAGTTACTCTAAATATTTTCCACAGCAGTTACTGGTAACCCCTGACTGGGATTAGCCGGTTGTCACCAGTGAGGTTTGTAGGCTAGCAGTGAGCGAGTCTGCAAGCGGGGAGCTCTGCTCCTTGCGTTAAACAAGGAATCGCTCCCCCTTGTGGGCATAGTGGCTCATTGCATGTTCTCTAGCAGTCCTACTCAACCCACAACAGCACTCACTAGATCATCCTTAGGCTTTGTTTACTTACAAAATATCCGATAAATTATAAGTAACACCCTTTAAAATGAATGATGTCAATAATTCTACAAATTTAAATTTCTAATTAGGGATAGTTTGAACACTAATTCAGTAACTTTGGGCATAAACTGGCCTTTTTGTTCACAAAGAACAATTTCGTAGTTTCTTTTGACTTTTTGTTGTCTGGTGTCTCATTTATTCTTTAAATGTAAGTAAATTAGCTTGATGTGTTTACCTGTGTTTCAGCCCACTCCACATTGTTCCAGCCAAACAACAGCACTCTTTATAAACAAGATCCTGAGACACTGGTCAATAACATGCAGAAACGCAAACAAAACACAAGCACAAAGTCACTCAACTATCATCACCAAGAAAGAACAGGATTCTTAGGGGACAGATGGCCATTGGACATTTACTTACAAATGACACTTTTTTAACTTAAAAGTAAAACAGAATATTTAAAGGCAAGCACGTAACGACACACACTGAATTTCAACTCATGTAAATCCGAATCAAATTCCCTGCCACAAAACTTTAAATGAGCAATTGTGCATTCATATCATTTGGAAAATACAAGAAAAAAATAGATGAGAGATAATAAATAAATTAACGAGAAGAAAATGGGACTGGATTCCATGAGGAGCAAGTAAACTACTGCCCACACATCCTATCCCAGAATCCCCAGAAAAGGAAGTGAAGAGCTGTGTTTATTTATTGTGTGCTCAGATCTTGCACTCATTGAGATTCTGAGGTGTGTAATCAGGAATGGTGTTTGATTTTTTTAAAGTATTCAGTCCGAAAACTAACGTTATTTATACATTATATTCCTAATACTGAAAAGCCTCTTAGAAGCTGAGGTGTCACTGTAGAAGTCCAAAAAATAAAGAAACAGAATCCCTGATTTCTCCCCAAAACAGTACATACAGTATGGTGGCGGAAAACACGGCATACTCCAGCAGTTAGTCAGGGCTTACCAAGGGCATTATCACCAGGGGTGAAATTCTATATTTCACAGCACTCCTAGCGATACAGTGTTATTAGTAATGACTGGTAATGTTAAACAGATCTGTATTTGTTTGCCACGGTGAGTTTTGAAATGAGATTGCAGGGAAGACGTCTGCTATATTAACTGCAAGCTGTCACAACATTCACACACTCTTGTAACACTTACGCAGTTGGCCCAGGTGATTTCCACAGAGCATGGGAAGGAAATACAAGCAATTAGGAAAATGTCACACAGTGATTTATCTTTTGCATATTTAGACTGCACAGCCCATTTTTTTTAAATCACAAGAGCTTTGTGTCATTTCTTTTGTTTCAATTTCTCAACTCCATTAAAGAAGCGTTACTGCAGATTTGTAACCAAAACGTAAAGGGCTTTTTCACTGAAAATCTCCAGAAATAAAAAACAGCTTTTAAAGTCCACTGGGCAGGACACAGCTGAGAGTCGAAAACACTGCAAACAGGAAAAGTGATGATCGGGAGGTGAGGCCTCAGGAAAACAATGAGATGGAACATTTAATAAGAGAACAATACCCGTGACCAGAACAGGATGACACTGTACATTTTACTATAAAGCAAGGGCGACAAATCTATTACCCTGCATGTGCATCACTGTTGGGGGCTGAGAAAGCATCCTGAAACAACCACGCTTATCTTATCTCACACAGCTGTGATGCAGCAGCTATAATAAGCACAGCTATTATAGCTCCAAACTAGTCAAACAAGTCCAAGCCAGACAAAAACAAACCACACAGCACCTTGGACACTGTCTTTTGGGAAATTAAAACCCCCATAGCAAATAGTGTGAGAGATATTTTGAAATCCTTTTTTATTTACGTGATGATTAAATTCAATCCAGTGTTGGGGTACTTGTCTATGTCTTTAATATACCGCTCTCTTTTGTGACCATTATGATGCAGTTTTTCACCTTTAAAAAAACACACGCACACAAAAACTTCATGCCTGCACCTCAAGTGCCAGTTTTGGGATTCGACTGAGAGAAGATCCTGACAATTGCCATTTTCCCAATTTGCTTTTATCGAAGGATCTCTATATTTTGAATGTTTCCAATCCGAGCAGTTGCGCATCTCAGGAAATATTTTCGAGGAAACGTCAACTGCATGCATCTGGAATTTTAGACTCTTGCTGAGAATCCAGAGCTATCTCCTTAACCTGACTACATCCGTCCTCTCCTGGAGGAAACGTGACCAGAAACATCTCCAGTCACTCATGCTGAAATGATGTCACCCTTCCCCTCTCCTTACACAGAGAAAGCCTAGTTACCCTGCAGGTGGTCTCCTGCTGTAATGGTGTTCAGGAGCCAATCAAAGCCAACATAATTCTGCAGAGGGCTGATGGGCCAAAGAGAAATCAGTTTTCTAATTTACACCAGTGCAGGCGGTCTGGATCCATGCACGCAGTAAGGTCCTGTGTTATAGGACGGTTTGACCCACCAAAGAAAACACTCGTCATGAAAACTGTACCAGCCAGCCGGGTGAAACCTGACAGATGATGCAGTGTACAAATGCTTTGTTCACATACCAAGTCAGACAACTGGAACTAATACAGTGACGATCAGTGAAACAATTTGTGAAAGTAATCCTGTAGACAAGCCTGGCGTGGTCCTGTTGTTCAATAATTTACAACATCCTCCTGATTCATCTTTTCGCCCCTTTCCCATAGTATATATAAACCACCTGTGGCACGCCAGCCGTAATTAGGTTAGTAGTTTCAGCTGACCTGCCACGAGTCGTAGTTTAGGCCTCTACTGTGTGTCAATGGTGAATTAGTTAAATAATGAGAGAACTGGAGGAGGGCTGAGAGTCACATCCTCGCACGGTTTTAATCTAGAAGAGTTTGGTATTTAAATGGATTCACATGTGAGCTGGTTGGATTATTTGAACAGTTGTACCTTTTGTATGTATATAAAAAAACGTCTAGTGGGGAGCTGCGTCAGCGTGCGTAGGCCGCAAAGGGACAGTAAAGGTTTATTCCGTGCTGAAAAGAGAAGAGACACCTGATGAAGGCTCCACAGCCAAAACATTGTGTCTTTTCAGCATGGAATAAACCTTTTCCTGTGCCTATCAAAAACCTGTACTAAAATAAATGCTCGTTGCTCAGTTTTCTCTTTTCCATTCTGGTTTGTCCATGTGCTCGGGCCTCACAAGCCCACTGAGGAGAGGCAGGCCTGTCACACCAGCACCAGGCCTCCTGCCCACACTGCCCGTTCCACTGAGGTTTCACCCCCTGCTCAGTCGCCATGCAGTGTTCAGCCAGCTCTGCTGTGTGGTTCACTCACCGGACACGGCGCTGCAGTGAGCACAGTGAACACAAGCTGGAAGAAGGGAGTTAGAAGGAAACGGTCACTCTGACTTGCTGACACAAACGGCTCTGTTTCTGTTCAGCCTTGGCTCAGTGTTTGAAAAGGTCAGTTCAGTTTAGGATCTGCTGACTCACAGAGCAGCCTTGATCCTAGCTGTCTTAAATCCAGGGCCCTGATAAAACACCATCAACAACTGATAACAATACATTTGAACTATTACACACTAATGCGTTGCTTGATAAAGGTGCCTTTCACGTACGAAAATTCTGTGTGTCAGTATTTTTATGTTAATCAGACACACACTGTAGTAAACTGAATTCCCAGAACAGACCGAGAAGAGAGATACTAAAATGTCTGCTGTACCTAACAATGTTATTCTTCTAACAGTGATGGAATTAAAGATTACACTCTCATTGATACTCAAAATCTATAGATTTTTTTAAGTTTGGATTTTGTCATAAATAAAAGCTTAATAGACATTCAACTATCATATAAAATAGCCTAAGCAGCCTGTACAGTATCTCAAGTTGCCATAGATGTTATAGTATAAAATACATAGAGATGTAGATGCATAATGAAATAATAAATTAAATAATATAATGGAATATACAGTATACTACTATTTGCATTTTGAACTAATGCAGATTAGATGAATGAATCTAAATGCATATCTATTGACTTAAGTTGCATGGTACAGAATTTTAGTTTAAGAGTTATGAAAATCCTTTCTTGCATCATACAAAATAAAACACTGGAGACATTTTATACAGGCAAACTAAGCCCTAGAGTTTCTACCATATATGTGCTTATTACACCTCTCAGGACCACTGTTAAGAGTCTATCCTCTGTTGAATATTATAATTCATCAAACCCCTTGTAAAACATGAGGGTCACAATTTAACAAATAACACCATGAGCCTGGCAGCCAAGAACACTTCACTTTGATTTGTAAATATAAAAATACTTCTGAAAACACTAGACATAAATACAGATGGCAGATAAACTCTAAGCAATGGGCTTTTTGTTTTACAACATTGCAACATCCACCCATGACTCCAATGCCTTTTATGGACGAGATGATTAACAGTCACTTATGTCTGGAGAATACCGAGATGTCAAGCTGGAACTGCAGTCGCAAATGTTTTTCCACTGCCTGCCAGCTGTGAGTTTCCTACAGATAAAGAATTTAAAGGCACTGCATTGTGAAGAGAATGGATTATTTTTAAAACCCCATATTTACTGCCCATCGAACAGCTCAGCCCTCAGAAATAATTTACCAGAGACAAATACTAGATACCAAAAGACAATACTTTGTTGCTAAGCAGGCTTCATGTCAAAAATAACTACTATAAATAACAATTTGTTTTCCCAATCTCCTTTACTTTCAACTGGTTTGTGAAATAATGAGCAAAATTCTGTTTTGTCAAATTAAAACCTAAAGGTCTGCCTTTTTTATAATACTCTATTGCACTTAAGCAATTTATATAATCAGAATCCTATTAAGACTGGTGAGCACTGGTGATCTTTTTTTCTCTTTTCAAAAGGAACGTTGATTAACACCAGTTTTCAAAAGTTTTACACTAGAAAACAACATCTGAAAGTGAGACGAAAAAGCAAAAAGAGAGGAGGGATTGACTTAACCAAGCAGGCTTTAACAAAATATTTCAGTATTCCTATAGAAACAACCTTATTTATGTATTCTGCAATATTTATTCTGTGTGTTTTTATGTCAGGCCAGGTAAATTTCTTACTTTCTCTAGAACACTCTTGGAGATAGTTGTGTTTGCTTAGGATTCATCCTCTTTTGCACCTCTGACTTGTATAGACTTGAGATGAGAGTAGCTGCAGCCCCTCTGACAGTGAGGCCCCCCCGTCTTTGCCAGCCGTACAGTATGTGCCGTGGGAACTCACCCTTGCTGGAGGCAGATTCGGAGTTGCTGCGTGTGGTGGTCCTGGCCCTGGGGTTTGTGCTTGAGGACCGAGAGGGCATGGGGCCGGACACGGGCCCTTCTCTCTGGATGCTGGACAGGTCCTGCATGCTGAAGCTCCGCAGTCTCTCAGAGAGCGCCCCTTGCCCCTGCCAACGGGAACAACAATTCATCGTTAACACCCCCTCAGGACATTCACTTCTGGCCACAAATAGCCCATCTTTGCGATGCCTTTCACAGACGTCTACCTTCACGTTACTTCTAAATGACCTTTCCTGTGATGAACAACCTTGTACAGGCTAGAGAAGAAGGCTAGTCACCTGAACTCGAAATCTCGCTTTAGGCAGCTGGTGTAGATCAGTATCTAAACAAATCTAATCATTTGCACTTTACCTAGTTTTTACTTACTCAGAAAAGCTAATCAATATTCTGAAATTCTGCAACACAAATCTGAAATATATTTTCCTGAGCCTGTGCACCTTGGAATTATAATGGCAGCTGCACACCCACACCAGAAAACCTTCAGAATTAACGTTGTCCCCTCCTTTTTTTTTACCATCATATGCTGTAAGAGTAACTGCTTGCAACGCAACCACACTTTACTGTCCAGCAGAAGGGCTCATTCTTATGGCATGCAACTCAGTGCTGTCAAAGGTATCACGGCATAGTCCGTCAGTACCTTTCTCCTTAGGGAACTTGCATTACAAACCTGTTTTATAACACAAGAGGCTTCCGTACTTTAGATTTTAAAAGAATCATGCTTTTTCAACACAACTCAGAAATGATTCATAAGACACCCACCATGCTCTGCAGTGGCTACAGTGTCTTAGCTGGCAGTTGATTGAAAGGAAGCTGCAGAAGTTGTGGACAACTTGTGTAAGACATGAGGCTTTTTTTGACTCACTGTAATTTTACATGACAAAACATTACACATTACGTATCAGCTTGCAGAGTGAGCGCTACAGAGACTGCCTATGACTTTGTACGCAACTGTAGGAGGAGTGAATCTTTTTGAATAGATACACTGTCAGCTTTATTCACTGACATAATGCAACACTGTGTTTTGTTTTGTTGCTGGTTGGACAATGTACTTTATCGACTTACAAAGAAACCTTTTTTCAGATACTTTGCATGAGAAACTTTATTGACCGTTCAATACCTTTCAAGCTTATTCAACATCGGTTTCCAAAGTTAAATGTAATATCCTATTGTTTCACTTCATAGTAGTATTTAGTATACTAACATCCTGTTGTGTATCACAATCATCATGTCTTTCATTAAATTAACAATCATACAGGCTCCTTCATACAGTAGGTGGTGCTGGCTATGATCTAAAAGAGAAATCATCTGCGTCAGTGGACAAAACAGTGCCCGTCGATAGGAGTTATCCCACCTCTTCATACCAAAGTCAGCTCTGGTGAAGCAACATCTAATGCAAATAAGGCTTCACTTGAAGGACTCTTCACTGACAAACACGGTTGAAATTGTGTAGTCTTTTCTGAGACTGTCGAATCATGCATCCCATCTTCTACACTTCTCCTCCACTGCGCATTGGAAACCTTAGCTGTCTGAGAACCGTAAATGATCAACAAAAACCTAGACAGAGACTATAAAAGTAGAGAGAAAGAGCTGCTTTTGTGGGTTTTTACAATTGAAAAAGAACAATGTCTGAAAATGTGAAAAGCATTCTGGCACTTTCCTTTACATGAAGCCACATTACAAAACATAGATTTAAAAGATCTCACCTTCCCGATGAGGCTTGGTAATTGGGTTCAAATTTGGATTAATTAACTGAATGTGTTTCAAAAGTATCGTAGTCCTATCTATGGTCTCTGAGCGTCACGCAGCACCTTTTTGTAAACTGGACAGTACATTTGACTACATTAGTGTATTGTTACACAGTGCATTGCAAAGCACTATGACCTGCAGTACTATGATGTATGTGTGGTGAAAAGCTCATGCTGTACAATAAATCTGAAAGGACGCATTGACTCAGCTGTGATGATCATCTTGAAACAGTCCCTCTTCTCCCTGTGCACATTTAGAGGCTGTTTTCAGTTTGAATGATCGTTGCTATGGTTCTTTGTTTCTTCCTTTTGCTAATATGGTGCACGTATATTTGTTTTTTTACGGTGCTTTTCAAGGCATGGGTATCAGTCTTTGTGTTCAGCATAACAACAAGTGTTAGGTGGCATCCATAAAACAGTGCCAGCACATTGCACAACAAAACACCAATTCACACTAACTGTGAAACATGAGAGTTTCACATAGTAGCCAGCTAGTGTATTCTCAAACTGAATAGAAAAACTTTCTCAGATTCCTAACCCAATTCCACATTTTCCATGCATCCACAAAGCATTTTACCACACTAAACAAGCTTCTGCAAACAATACTTAAGAAGAAAATTTATATTACACAAAACTGGTGAATTTCCAGAAACAGAGAATATTTTTGCCTGAACACAAACTATATAGGTGTCAACTTCATCCTCCTAACAATTGACTTGCTTTATGGGATGATTGCTTAAAAAACAAAGAGATTTACACAGATATTGAGTGTTTCTTTATCTTCATCTTTCAGAAGCACCCATGTGTTATGTACGGATACTGTACATTATAATTGGCATCCTGAGATCTCAGTCTTCATGTGCACAACTATTTACTTTCTGCTTTTCTGCTGGGGAAAACACTATTGTGGCATTCCTGTCCTCTGCCTTCCCATGAGCTTAACGTTCGGCTTCAGGTTGTCAGAAATAGGCTGATTAACAGAAATTAAAGGGCCATGACTCAGGGTTTAGAAGCCTTTTCTTGCTTTACCTTCTCAATAACAGTAGAGCAATACTGTCTAGATATTTTGATTACCGGTACATTTTGTTTTATGACATATATCATCGCTATATCGTATCAGTTATATCATCGCTATAATTTACTTAGCCTATATCGAGAGAGGTATATTTCTTGTGGCCTGTAGCATCCTTTCCTGGATAAGACCAGTTGTAACTTCCTGAGTATCTTCTGATGTTAGATAAAGGATGTGTTCGAGCCTGGTAGTCTCAATAGTTATCCTGTTCCACGTGGTAGAATAATGCAATAGCTATGAAGTTAAATCAAATAACCACAAGCGTCTAGCAAGGAACAGCAGCTTTCCTTAAAATCATGGGAAGTTAATGGTAATCTCTGCCACATAATGAAAAACATGCTAAAATGATCACCTTTGCTATATTCAAGGCTGAATTCTAGAGATTCTATCAGGCAAACAGATAGAGCCGAATTTAGACAAACAATGCAGGACAGTGTGGTCTGAGAGAATATTGGGGTGCAGTGGGAACACTAGAGGCGCAGAGGATACCCCTGAATATCCTGTTACCGTACGAAATTGTATGGTTTTAATACCCTTACAGCTTGTTTTAATGGTTAAATGTTCTCATTATGTGTGTATATGGCGCTTTGTTTCTTCGTCTCTTCTGGAAACCTCCTTTCATTTTAAAATAACTTTCAAAAATAATGCTCAACTCTGACCACTAGAGCACAGAAAAATGAATAAACACTGTCACTGTCAGTCTTCAACAATCCGCCTTGACATCCTTCTGTCACAGTCTCCCTACTCTACCTACAACCCCTGTCGCTCGTCCACTAACCCAGCCTTCATTCTCCCACATCCCGGTCCCCTTCATTCTCTGCCTTTGTCCATCTTTGGAAATCACGTAAATCAGGACTATCCAGCCCCTGACCATCTTCTAGTTCCTGTGCTCCTTATTCTGCTTATTGAAAAGGCTAGGAATAAATCTAATGTTTTCATTTGTACAGTACTTCTGCGTAATGAGAACTTTGTGTATGCTGTAAGTTAGTATTACTCCTACTTTATTCAGATGACACTTTTATCCAAAGCGACTGACATTTGCACTCACATATACAGCTGGACATTTTACTGGAACAATTCAGGTGACTTGTTCAAGAATTCAACAGAGGTTCTCACCTAGGATGTGAACCTACAGCCTTCTATTCATGAGTCCAGAACCCTAACCACTTCTCCACACAGTCCAAGTTGTGCTGGATACATGTGTCTGCTAAGCAGGCTAATAATGTATGCATTTCCCTTACATATTTCCTTCCAATCAGCTTGTAGATGTGTCATTATCACTCGCATAGCAAGCAGTGTCTCGCCCTGTCTGAAGATCAGGGATAACAACACAGTGAGGTAGCTCCTCCCCTGCAGACAGGGCAGTGCTGCAGCTGACTGATTAAGATGCTTTCTTTTTTGAGGTTTTGGGATTCTAGGTTTGCATTTTGTCACAATTAATTGAATTGGCTCAGTTTTATTACCTCAGGAATGGGGTGAATATGGCCCCAGAGATCTTGCTTGGACTGTTTTCTCATTCCCAGACAATTCCCTTCTTGAGTACCATAGCTAAATTTTATGTGTCCCACAAGCACAACATTTATGAAGTCAGGTACCTGACAGTTCCTTCACTTCAGTCCAGGCCGTTAGACTAGGTACAATTGCTAATGTGACTGCTGTTCTATTTAATTAAACAATGTTTCAATACATTATTTTTAAATATACTTGAACGAGAATTTTAATCATTTTTACAACTTAAAGTGATGCATTCTTATACTTAGACCATTACTGTTTTTGCAAAAATTATGTTTTTTGCAAAAAAAATCTGACTTGTTAAGGAATTTTGTACCATGAAACACAGAATGTGAAGCATAAAGAGATGGAGACATGGAAAGATAGAGTTCATGTACTCAAACTCTGGAAATAATGATTGTATCATATTATATTGTATCAAATATATAATTTATAATATGGAAAGGAACACGTAATAGGTTTATTCCATGCTGAAAAGAGAAGAGAGAATGCACAATATTACAGCTGTGAAGCATTCTTCAGGTGTAACGTTGTGTTTTCTTTCTTCTCTTTTCAGCATGGAATAAACCTTTACTTGTTCCTTTGCAGACTACGCATGCTGACACAGCTACTCATCTGAACTAATTTATCATATATTTGGGAAGTGCAAAGTGAAATTGATTCATGCTACGAGTGTGTTACAAAACACTTCTTCTAAGAAAATGACTCCTAACATTTTCAACCCTATCATTTGTTTTGTGAAGCCAACATAATTTTGTTGATTGGCTAAACCTTGGCACAATACAACTGATAAATGTAGCATGTCAAGAGAAAATGTCCTATTCTTACAGATATGATTTTTTACAATCCAACTGTAATTGTTTCTTTAAGTTAGCATGTAAAATTCCTTTTCAAAATTAATGGCACAAAAAAGGACAGATATGAAAATGGATTTATTGTTTTCATTGAGCACCATTCATTCATGGGGTCAGAAGTAATATGAGGCTGGTTTACAATGAACCCTCATTGTGTCAAATGTAGCTCAGCAGCAGCAGCCAATGACCAACCAATCTGATCCCATATCAAACAGCCCAATTTTTGTTGGTCGCCTTGTCAGCCATTATAAATTACGCCATTCTTTTAGTCCTTCCTGTCACAGCATAACCCTTCTGTGACGAACGTTTGAATTTCACTGGGGGGAAATCATTCTGTGCTTCATGTTCAACGACTGACAGTCTACAAAACAAGTCTTGTTAAAAAACCACAAGGTCATTAGTGTGCAGTTAGTTGTTCATGCTAATGGTTACCTTCCCATCTGTAAACTCCCAATATGTGATTATTTTGAGCAGGTGAGAAACCTGGTGGAGAAGAGATGGTTGTTATGGTAACAGAACATTTGGAGCAGAAGACTAGTTAATGGGACACTTCACCTTTCTCCCTAATTGGTTCGGAGAACTGGTAATCTGGACACATCAGGGCCTTTTGAAAGGATCATAACAATTTACCCTAAACACTGTAAAACCACTCTAAGCAACCACAATGTGCCAATGGATACATATGTTACAATAGTTATCTTTTCGAAGTCCCCTAATTAGTTTGTAAATTTCTTTGTGGCTAGAATGAAACTCAAGAAGGTAATAATCAGCAAGAAAACCTTGAAGAATGGAGCTCAATTTAGGCTGTCTGTTCCTGGCCCTTTACAAAGATATAGGTGCTGTTTCAATGTCATTTTGCTCCTGCCACTTAATCATGTCTGAATCTAAAAGTGTGATTTCCAAATCAATGCAACCAATACCTCTCCTTCCTACTGGCTGTGTACAGGCTGTTTTTTTCTTTTCCGAGGTCTCACTCTGTTTGCCAGGAAATTTTGTAATGGACACTTAAACCTGCTTGATCAATGAGGTCCTCTTTTCCTGTGAAACACGAGGTCAAGCTCAGGGTGTCGAATTTCAGGAGTGAGGCTTTCATTAAACAAAAAAAAAACTTCTGTCTCTCCTGTTCCCTTTACATGTTTACCACACCTTTTTTAACTTCACTAAAATAAGTTTCTCAATTTTTGCCTTGAGATGCCACTTGTTGTCTCACTGTCCTAAGTTTTTTTTGTTCTCTAAATGCATCAGAGATTTTAGTTTAATGTAAAACCACATAAAAAGAAAAAAGTTACAGCAAAACAAATTGGGTCAAGATGATTTTGACCTTACTGGAACATAGTAATCTGTATTTCCCAATTTGTAAGCAGTCCAGCCTATGCATTTTGAGATCTTCACATATAAATGTCACAATAAATGTCACTGACCAGACCTTGGGTAGTGGAAACCATGACAACATCAAGTTATATAACCATTTTTTCTGCACATATGTAACCTTAAGATATCTTCAAATGTTTTAATAAAATTACAATGCCACACTCCACTGTTAACAAGATAAAACAGGCACCACACTGTCCACCGCTCAGCTCACCATTAGAAAGTAAAGATTTACTGCATCAGATTCAGACATGTTCAGAAATGTTTCTTTTGAGCACTAAAAAGGCCACAGATTAGTGGAGTTCAAACAGCCCCTCAAGCTCGGTTTCTCTGTAGTCCCACAGGCAGTGCTGGTGGTGCTAGAACACCCCCCCCTCTCTGGAAGTAAATGGGAAAACATGCGGACTCCACACAGACATAACTCTGCCAGAAATCCAAACCAGGACCCTGAAGCTGTGAAGCAGTAGTGCTAACTGCCACACCATCGTCTATGGACAAATCTATGTCAAAAGCATAAACAAAACACACTGACTCGTAACGGAAAATAGTGTCTTTGTTCTGGACTTTAGACATGTCAGAATGTAATAAATAGGCCCTAGTCTACTGGCCTTCCCTCAGGTCTGAAAGCCCTTTGCAACACAAAGGGGCTCCACCTACATGCATAAAAGGCCTCAAAAAGATAAAAACAGAATCACAAAAGAGCTCCTCCACAGTCATTTGAACCCTGCGTACAGCGGTATAGCAACAACACACCAGAGTCAGCAGGACATTAATCACACACACCAAGGTTTTCCCCAGCATAAAATACAAGTTGGCTCATAAAGATTCTTTTCATTGCAACCAGCCTCAGTGGCTACAAGAGAGGAGTCAATGGTTTGTGTACGCACTTGCTGCCTGCAGTGTGCTGTAGGTGTCCCCAGCTCACAAAAAAACAACAACTGAGTTCAGTTCACAGCTTAACTTGCAGCCTGGTTTGATCCCATGAGCAACCACACCTTGTTTGAATGAATACACTCAGAATGTAACCTGGAGGCTTCTTATACAGTGGACTTGAAGGACATTTCTCCATGAATTTCAAAGGTTTTCATTAGTTTTATCCTCTGCAGATGCAATAAGCTAGGGATGCATACTATAAGCTTTATACATAAGCAATAAGCTCTGTGAATTCAGATGTCCAGGCAGGGCTTTAGCCACTGTACCTTGCTGCTTGAACCTACAACTAAATCTAGTATCTGCAGTGTGTCTCTGTTTTAAAGTGCTGAGAGTGAGGTGTCTGAGAGTGTGCATGCATTAACTGTGCACGTTACTAGGGGCTGCAGAAATTCATTGTTAAAAAGGAGCATATAGAGAAATCATACTTTATCCTAAACCCTCAGAACAGAATTCTTAGATAATCTACAGTTCATGGGGGGCAAAGGAAATTCTGATATGTATGTCATGCCAGCCCTTCCACAAAATGCATAAGAAACTAAATTCCAGCATATGTGATTAATAATAACGTATCCAGGGATGGCGCTGATGTTCTGTTTGCATTTGTGATTTCATTGTCTTCCAGACTGCACCCCAAAGATGCAGTAGCTATGAGAGAGTCAGTAATTGTACACGGCACACGCAAGTTTGTTCCGCCAATATCTAAATCAGTTAGCAGGATCTGAATAATTAAAATAGGAAGAATTTCATGTCTCAGGGAAATTCTTATTGATAAAATCTCTGAACGTGAGATTTTGAAAGTTCAAAAAGACAGTAATTCATTTTATTTATAAGTGCGTAAAGGAGACTTGAAATTGACTCTAGATGGAAACATGATTCTGATTTCCAGGAGCCAACTGTCACATTTTAAAAGCACAAGTCTTATTCTGTTGAGTGAATAAGAGGCCAATATTGTTTGACTTCAACATATCTTAAGAGTGGTGATAAACTGCTGTTATTAACACTGTTTTTAACAGATAAACATAGAAAATGAACCTGTCAGACTGAGCTCAAATAACCAAATAATTAAAATAATAAATTGCTCCTGCATGAATCATATTTACGCTGCTGTAAGTATGAGACAGTAGTTTTTAAAGGTCTCCCCTAAAAGAATCAACCCGGTCTATCATCAGAACGCACAGCACATTAACGATTTCCCTCCCCTGCAGGATGAGTCGGCAGAATGGCTGACGAGCCAGAGTGTCGGCGTTACCTTGGCAGCAGCCGTTACCGCAGCAGTGGCTGCCACGTTCAGCCCTTTCCTCCCAAAATGCACCAGGGCATCGTAGCTCTTGTCCTTTGCCTGGCAGAGATAATCATCAATTTCCTGGAAGAAGACACAATTAAGATGCAGAGGCATTAGGACCACTGATTATACTATATTTTTCTGTTTTTCAGAGCTTTGTGGGAAAGGCAGAACATGAATGCATCCTCACAGCTTGCAGCCAGTGTCCAGTAATACTTGTACAGTATATACTGTAGAACATCTCTAAAATATCCATTATCTACTAAGGACCTAAGAAAATTGACCACACAGACAACAGGGTCGGTTAATTTGTTCCACACACTCTTTGGACTTTTTTAAACATGCTTCAAATACTAAATCATCTGCAGATTTCACAATTAACAAAGGTTATTAAATTTGACTATGCATAATATTCTGCAGGTTTAAAGACAGAGCCTTTGAAGTCGTTGACGAAAACTTGTAAGTTTGCGATTTTGTGATCTAACTTAGTCCACATTACTGATTTAGCTGGTTTATTGTCAATGGTATACAGCACTTTATTCTGTCACAGTCATTATATGAGTAACATTCCAAGGTATAGCACAGTGTTTACAGTTTTCCATTATTCATTCATGACTCGGATAACCAGGAGCTGGAAGAACCTCAAGTCTGAAATTATTTTACCCAGAGCTCAAAGGAATGTTCTACACTGATGCACTGAAGAAAATGAACATTTTGTTTTGCCTTAAACAAAGACTGTAAATGGATATTCCATGAACTATGCTATGAAGTACTAAACAGTCTAGATGAGACAAGTGGCCTCCTCCCATCTGTCAATTATCTTAAGTTCTTATAAAAAAGTTAAATGAAACACAGTACACAGCCAGTCTGGCTTTTCTCGGGGGCTGAGTCCTGACAAAGAGATCTTTACTTTGTTTTTAAATCAGACACAAGCTGAGCACAGGAGGGCCACAGCCTACAAACATCTCTTCCAGACCTGAGGAATTGTGTAAAACGACTCTATTATTATTTACAGTTTGCTGACACCTTCTTCCAGGGCAGCTCAGAGGGGTTGCCATTCTTCCATTAGCTCAATAAGAGTTTTAGATGGCAGCTGAAAATTTGGCCGCAGGATATCACTGGCCTGAGGAGTGATAGCCATCTTCCCTTTCTGCTTTACCTCAATCCCTCAATGAGAAAGAAAGTGCCATGCTGCACTAGTTCGTTAACTGCTCTGTAATGGGTCCAATATTACTAATTAATTACATCTCCAGCACTTATTTCCTCCTGATTCCTTTCATCTGCCATTTTCCTCACTCCTTAAGAATTTTCATTGAATCTGTTGGATTCAGAACAACACAAACAAAAAAAGAAGAGCTGGAATAACATTGGATCTTTTTCTCCAAGATTAACAATTACACTGCCTTTAACCTGCATCACGTGGATGAATTAATAATGTGAATTAAAATTTCAAAGGCAGGCAGACTTGAGAAAACACCAAAGCCTGCTAACCAAAGCCCCAGATGCTGTGAACGAAATTCACGGAGGCATAACTGGTTTCTACTTTATCTTCCACAAACTGGCCACTGTGGCCAAAAGTGATTACACAAGTTTGTATGCCATTCTGCACCCTCAATGTATTTTCACAGGATATGTTCATAATAACTCAACTATAATAACTATATCATTTCAATTTCCATCTATTTACAAAGCCTACTGAGTGAAGCTCACACGTACCTCCCCAGTATGTGTAAAGAGACACAGACAAAGAGAGGAGGAGAGAAGAGAAAAGAAGTCACAGTCATCTAGAGAGCACAGAGAGCAATTCCAAGATGCTTTAAAGTCTCCAGTTGTAACCATTTTCAATGCCTTCTGAAGAGGTTCTTAGGAAGGAAAGTCAGAACAGAAAAAAGGCCTGCTTCCACTCATTCAGGTGTGTGTTGCCACTTGAATACACTCTCAAGGTGTGCTGCACAACAGTGGCTCCTCACAACTAAACCTGAAATGCTAATAGGCCAGTCAGACTGTTCTTACCTTTTCTTTAGAAGACAGGGTAGGGTGGACAAACTTCCTGTAGAGCACACTGGAGCCCTTTGTGTACGGAGACAGCAGCCACACTACGAAGGCAATCTTCAGCTCATAGTAAAAGGGGAGCCTGCAGAGGAGAAGCAGAAGTTATACGAAGTCCACTCGCTTCATAAAAAGAGCCGTGATGTACAGCAGTCCCAGCAGACATTTACACTCCTATATAAGGAACTCAAGAATGAGAACATGTATTTCTAAAGATTTAATAGGCAAATAGAAAAAACAGCTCTGTAAATACAATTTGTACATGTGTTGTACCTCGCCAGGAGTTCAGTGAAAGCCCTCTATGTACAGTAGTATTAAAACATGTTCTCATCATTTACATATTTCAATCATATGTTTAAAACACCTATTATGCTTTCCAGTTCATTCATTTTAAATATATCATTTATATTCCATATCCCTGAATCAAAGTAATTAATATTATGGAACAGTATAATTTGTTTTGAACTGAGGATGCTTATTACAGATTGTAAAGGTCTTTTTTAAGCCACAAAAAACAGAAATACAGGTGACATTTTCTGTGTCATTTTGTCTAGAAATATCTGCATGGACGAGTATTTCTATTGTCTTAAATTAGGTTATGTTCTCTTAGAAATCAGATTACGGAGATGTGTGTCGCAAAGACCCAAAACTGAGTCACATGTCTTCCATTAAACTGTCTGTTATCTGAATAGGCCCAGGCAACAAAGACAAGTTATGAAAGAATTGTTGCCAGATTTTTTCACTCTGTGAGAAAACTGCAGACAAATATATCATCCTGTCGTAACAAAAATGCAAAAAGATGATGTAGTTGGAGACATCGAAACTAAAGCCCTAAAGAGGAGGGAGGGCAAAACTCTAAAATAAAATAGTGAATTTACATAAGAATAAGGACATAAGGACAAAGAAACCAACGTACATTGTAATACAGTCTGTGTATCTCTATTCAAATGAGTTCAGAAGAAAAGAAAGAATAAAGCACACACCACCAAAATCAGTGTACTACTCTATTATTACCACAAATAGTATACAGTATGTATCAGGGTACAATATCATGCATATAACTAGAGACTTCAAACGCTGTACAACATAAGAAACAACACAGTGTGTTTATAATGGCAATAAAGGCTTGTGCAGCACTGGTTCTGCAGACAAGCCTGTAGTCCAGAACTGTAATGTACAGTAAATCAGCAGCAGAATAGGGTCTCCAGATCTGTGTTTCTTGAAGTCACCACTGCAGACAGACTGCACAGTTTCAGCCAGAGGCAACCTGCTCCTTAAGAGTAAACATAGCACAGATAGCTTTCACAGGCTGCTGGGACTGAGATTCTGACAATACTATTTACACACACAGAAAGGCATTTACATTTAGCTCAGAGCACTGCGATGAGACAGGGCAGTGACCAGCCCCATGGATACATTAGGTATGAAATTGTATACATTATCTGGTCACTTTTACTAGAGCATGTATCTAAAATAAGGCATGGTTATGTTCTTTGCGTGGAGCAATTTATTTGTGTTAGCGTGTTTTCCTGCAAAAAAAATATATAATTTGATGGCTGGTCAGTGCAACTATTTCCACCGTAAGAGACAAAATGTTTTCTAGCCACATCAACCTGGCTTCCCATAGTTTAGGATTTGCTAAGACAACCTTCTGATTTCCTATTATATTCCTATTATATTATCCTGAAGCAAAATTTGTACTCTAATGCTGAACAACATTAAATTTAATGTTCTGCACTGTCCAAACAAGACAATAAAACTGGATAGTCGTTAACTATCAGCACACATACTATATATACGCAAAGAGACATTATTCTTGTCTGATTACTTTATTCCCCTCTGCACAGCCTCATTTCAGGCTAAACTCATATAAAACTTCACTGCTGTCACTGTGCAGCATAACAGATTACCTGCTGCTGTTGGGATTCTAAAGATGTCATGAAGAGCTGAAGTCAAACTGCAGTTTTTCCCTCTCTTGTCATACAGTACATTCACTTTATTTGTCAAATACTATCAGCTAAAATCAGTTAAATATAATATAACACAACATTTAGACACAATGTGAAAAAAGTCCAACATGTTTGTTATCTTGTTCATTATTTCTTTCACAAGGTTTTCAAGTGCTTTAACCCAAGTATGTGCACATTCATAGTTCATGATTTTCTAATTGCTCGAATTTAAATGCCAAAGTACACTAAGGCACTTTTCTCCTTCAGCACTCTACTACTGAAAACAGCATCAAGAGGTGCATTTCCACACAATTTCGCTCCGTAAGTTCTGAAAGTAAAAGCAAAAATCAAGATAAATTATCGATGCAAAAAAGATGTGTATTGTCTTCAAACACTCACCAGCAAAGAAATATATCCGTCATAGTTTCTGCTGTGGTGAAAAGTGCAAATATTATCCAGTACATCATCCATTTTACCTGTCAAAAAACATAAAAAAACATAAAAAATTAAAACTGCATCTAGGAAAGAAGACAAGCAATAGCTCTCATTGTCTACAAATAACAACATTTAACAGTCACATTGCACAAGGTAGGATCTCATTCCACTTGGCAATCTTTGGACAGGTAATTCTAAGGTGGAAGATTCGGTAGAAACCCACTCCTTCACCTTGATTACAATGTAGTGTAATTTATATGTTAGATAAATGTTTTTCTTTACAAATTTAGAAGCTGAAGACTATTTTCCCTCCAACTCTTCTTTCTCTTCTTTTCGTGTACTTGCTTATTAGCTGCCCTTATAAAGGGCAACTTAGAATGTACTGTATATACACATTTAAAACTATCAGAGAAAATGAATAAAATGAGACAAGCACAATAAAGATTAAATTAAACAGGCACTATTTGGTTTTTAAGTGTTGGGTTTCCATTAAACAAAGAAGCACAAAGAGCAAGAGAGATCTCATGAGATTGTTGAAATCTGTATACAGTATATGCCCGAACTCACAGATGGACGAATTGAGACCTCGCACTAATAAAGAGTATTAAATGCTTTTGCCCCTGTAACACAGAGCTGTCAGGACAGCACAGAACCATCTCCTAGGCTGGAGAGTGTGCTGTGTGACTTGCCTATATTGGTACAGTGTTTTTTCATGGCACTGTAGCTACCTCACAAGGTGGTTTAGGCCTCTTACAGAGCTGCCTGTGTCAAAGGCAGTGCTGGTTGTTTAGTGGTACAGAAGGGTATGGTTAGACGAGCACCAGCACATGTGATTTCACATGTGCAAGGATGACATCACACAAGCTAAACATAAGTAAGAACAGTAGAATGGCGACAGAATGCTGCAGTAAGCATGAAGTGAGTTAGTTTGTGGGCTGGAAGAGAACTCAATCTGTACTGTACTTGATTATGTGTTTCATGAGAAGATTGATCACAGGATTGCTTACGTGTAGTTATTGTTATGAAAAAAGATCATTCACAACTTGATGCTTAAAATGGCGTTTTGTAAAGTAAAAGATCAAAATTCTTGATGTGTGAAAGCTCTGGAATCAATCTGAAAGCAATGTGGATACCTCTCTGTGTGTGAAAGGTATACGACCGCTCATATACACTGCACGAGCTGTATACCATACAGAACAACTGCAACACACTATATGACTAGAGAATTTGCAAGTCACCTCTGAAACGATTCACTACAGGCAAAGCCATGTGAAAAGGGCTCTGTAGCCTCAAATTAAGACTGTTAGTATAATTAGACTGCTAGTGTGAAAATACGTGCTTCCCTGCAAGCAGACTTAGAAGAGGGAATCAAAATAAGCCAAGCAGTCTTTTTACAGAGAACTAATTAATCCAAGAAGCTCCAGGATTCTCTCAATTTTGTGCTGGCACACCATGTTCTCATGTTAATCTGGCAGTTCTCCAAGACAATGATCTTTGAAGGCGGTTGGATGATGCTGCATTCACTGACTGCTGCTCTGAGCAGTCTTGTTGGGTGTGGAAAGGGCTCTCTGAGCTCGTCTGAAAGCTACTGCAACAGTTTTCATTGATTCCTGGTGTCTATCAACAGTCTGACCAAACTGGCAGGCATCTCGAAACACCAGAGAGAGTTTGCAGTTTGGGTGTGTGATCATAGTTTTCAATTCATGGAAAGAGGTAATTAATCTCTACCTTCTGTTTTATTGTCTAGTTTTATCCCATACATTCTCCCTGTTTCTCAGTATTTACTTCAGTTGAATATGTTCTTCTGGCTATCCTTCACAAAAAACGCTTTTCACAAATTCTGTGGGCCAGATGTGTGGAAAACATGTTTTCCTGATATCTTATCCCAGGAGAAACAGCTGCATGGACACTATTAGACGAATGGGGATTTGTTGGGTGAACGTCATGATTCTCAGACTATCAACACGAACTCCCTATTTTGGGATCTGTGGCAATTTTGCTACATTTTGAACTGCAATATAAAAAGATATTCTGTATTTGTATGCAATGTTAAAGCCCATCTCATATTCACTTCATTCACAAAATAAAAGATGACACCATACTTACGTATTCTTTAACGTCTTTGGATTTCACAGCTTTGTATGAAGAGTATGCAGGGTAAAGTGTGCCAAAAATAAGCCTGAAAAAGCACATAGTTACACACATTAGTTTTTTGTTTAACAATAATTTGCAGAGCTGAAAACATTGTGGTGGTGAAACTTTCAGCTCATAGGCAGCTAGTCCCAGATTTTGGAATAGACAGTATGGTTTCTAGTAATAATATGTATTGCTTTCCACTGGCAGGAAAATGGCACAGGTTTGATCAAAAATACTTATTTGTGTAATTCAACAAAATAGGACATCTTTGGAAGGCCAGGAATCCTTTATCAGGAATCCTTTTTCAAAGTACTATACCTTTTCACAATCTTGTCTTGCCTGCTTTTGCAATTGTGCACTAATATCTGACAACGTTGATATTAATGCTGTAATATCCAAAGTGTGTCAAGCCAAGACTACCAGACAAAGTGAGTAAAAAAATGCCCACTGTAGACTAGTCTTCAACACCTCCTGCTGGTAGAGGTGAAAATCTGAGTAGCTTCAAGAGTAACCTAGATCATCCAAATTCCTGAACAGCCAGGACAGTGGGAGAAAGAAAAGTCTCACAGTAGGCAGAATACACAGTGAAAATGAGGAATCAAAAGCTCTAAATAGCAGATGGCAGGAAATGAGATTTGACAATATAATACCATTAGAGAGAATTGCATTAATCTGTCAAGCAAAAAAAGCAAAGCTGTAAAGCCATTAAGCTGGGCGACATAGGTTTCTTTACATTTAAAGATGGAGAAAATTATGTTGCCCGCATGCGATCTAAGTGATGAATTTGACTCTGAAAACATATTAAGCTTTCATGGTAAAATTAATACTGACGGGTAGGCAAGTAAATGTATTATTGTCATATGAGCCATAAGGAGTCCCAGATTTTAAAACTGTCATTTATATTTGGGAATGATGGGCAGACAAATCATGCAATCCTGATTGATTGCTGTTATAAGTACAGTCATACCATTGAAGCCAGTTGTTTTTTTAAAAAAGATTAGCAAATGTATTTTATAATTGGAACAGAGAGAATATGAGAACACAGGAACCAGTGTAAACGAGAGGTGTCACGGTAACAGTCCCCCCTCCTTAAGGGTGCTCCAGCCCTTTCACTTTAGACTTTATTCTGTACACCTGATTCCTATTCCCAGCCCATCTTAAAAGCCAGGCGCTGACGCTCATCTGGGCTCTGCATCTGGTTTCCGCACCGTGGAAGCGCCTGGTTCCGTTAAGGTTTAATCTCTGTTCCCGTTCCTGTTCCCTGTCCGCCGGTTCCGACCCGGTTTCTGGTTTTAATTCCGTGTTTTGATGGATCTCCTGGTTTTGGACTTACCCTTGTGTTTTGGATACCCTCTAAGGATTATTCTTTTGGATTGTTCGCCTCGGCCACACCTCCCCCGTGCACCAGCGCACCTTGGACACGCCCCCCTGTTTTCATCCCCGTATTCCTGAATGACGTTTCCCAAGTGTTTCACTACTTCTTCGGATTGTGTCGTCCGCATAGGGTCCGGAAAGAACTGTTCGTTACAAGAGGATTCAGCCCATGTAGTAGTTAGCAATCCAAGGATTGCATCCCGGCTTTTCCACAGTGTATAACCCAGGGTATACATTTCCATGGTATGACTGTACAGCTTATTCTTTTTTCCCACAAAGCTTTGTATAAAGAATCGTCTCCTTTTTTGAGTTTTAAAAAGCACTTCCCCTTTATATCAATTTTTGTCCTCTGGTTCAGATTTCACTGTTGATTCCAAAGAACTCCTTTGGGTTGGCTTTGGCAAAGCCTTCGAGAATTTCGCACTTACTTTAAATATTTTAAATCTGGTCCCTGCCCTTCTACAGTATATAAGATAATCTCAATGGATTCGCTGTAGCTGTCTTACAACTTATAAAACTAACAAATAAAACGTACTATTAGATAATGGGGCTAAAGACTATCAACATTTAGTTTTCTCAAGTCTTTGATCTGTCCTTCTAACCACAAAAGCAGTTCGGTGGCACAACACAGGTCACAGACAGACAAGCACGTTTTCTATTATATGAAGCAATGCATTGCTGGATAGCCCTTTTTTAAAGGTGTATCCAGTAACAGTTCAAAAACTGCTACATGAGCAGAGTTTCACACTGTAGGCTTTCTTATGCTCCTTATGTACTTTATAAAAGCAATTTAGCAAACACATTTTATAGAAAGTCCTCTTTTATTATTCATATTCTAAAACTAAACATTTGTATACTGTTTCCGAGGCAACAACAGATTACTAGCATTACATATTTTTGTAATTTGTCATAGATATACAAAATAGAATATATATATATAGATCTACCAGAAACAAACCAGTACAAATGTGTTTTATTCAAGCAAGACTTAATTAATATGTAACTTGAGAAAGAAATACAGGTAAAAATATAAGGTTAAAGAATAATCAAATTTAATTGCAGTTCTGTTTGTAAGAGGAATAACTGTCAGATGTACGTTTTGGCACTCAAAGAGTGCTCTGATTTAGGAATAGAAGTCACTTAACCTGGAGTTCAGCTTTTCGGTTTAAAATTCTCTTGTAAGCTCCTTCATGCATAGGTAAATTATACAGAAGGAAACAAATGTTAAAAATCAAACTGTCTGGACATACATCCCTAAAGTGTTTCAGGGCAGGGGAAAGGCAGCCGCATACAACAGAAGGGGAGGCTAAAAGATTTATCAGGGATTGATGGCAAGCCCAGCTGCTGTCACATTATACAAAGCTAACCGGAGACGTACAGATACAGCCTCCACCTGCATCCACGAAGAAAGGTGCTGTGCCAAGGATCCCACACTGAGCTCTCCGTCAACGTGTTGTACAAGCTATTAGATATTTTCTGCTTGTAAGGAATCAAACGTTTTAAAGAATTTAAAAGAACAAAATAATTTACTAAATGTAGCATTTGAAATATGTGTATCACTGATAAAAATAAAGATATATTATGCAAAATAATACAATTTATAAGGTTACAAGAAGCGGCAAAATACTTAAAATGGCACAAAAAATGCAGCTTCCAATATGATCATTATTGATGCAGTATTAACACAACAGTATTAACTACATTTTAAGCACACAAAGTAAATAAATACTGTAATATACTGTATTGTATGTATACAAACAAATACAACTTTCAGACATTTTAATACTATATATACAACTCCAACTGTCAATGATCAGAAAGTGTATGCTTTTTCTTTCCTTCTGAACCCTTTATTAATATACCTAATTGATTACATTATTCGCTTAATATATTAAGGTGAAGCTGTGGCCTTTCCTTGTTTTTAAGAAGCTGGGGATTTCACCTGGAACCAAGGTTCCTGTGAAACCCACTGGATAGTGGCCGTTGATGACCAGAATTGGGCTCCTCTATTGCTCCAAAGGTACAATAATAGTACATTTCAACATAATGTAACTGAATGGGATTAGATTCTTCCAAGACCAGGATATCTCTTGAGATAGTGTCAGCTGAGAGGGAGATGAGGACCAGAGGCAGGGTACACGATGGGGTAGATAGAGGGTAGAGAACCTGAATGAGTGCCTATGACACAGTGTGGGAATGGCAGGAAGGGAGCTGTTAAAAGACTATGAACGTAGAGGCCTGAAAATGTATTTACTAGATTATTGGCTGCAGGGCCACAACTAGTTCCCCTAAAAACATATTTTTGGCTTCAGCTCCTGTGGGGTCCATTGCTGGCTCAGCCCTGCCACTCATTTCCAAAGGTCTGGGATGACAAAAGCATCTTCAGGCCCAGTACCGTTCTTCAGATTTACACAAGGGAGTGGGCAGAGTCTCCCCATTTTATGTGGGTCAGGACAAGAAAAGGATTGAAAGAGAAAAACATACTGACTCATACATAATTCACTCATTACGTATCCCTGCTAATTGCAGGAATACATGTACATAGAAAAGAATTATTCATCCTGCACAATTAATTCCTCTTACCGCCAAAGTCCTATATATTTTTAAATAGCATTATCTTTAAAAAAGCATACTCAATCTTCACCTCATATCCCTTCAATCTAATGCACTTGATCAGCTTCCTAATTAATTATACATGCCACTTGTTTGAATTTTTCCTCACAGTTATTTTTAGAAAATCACCCAATGAATGAATCCTTGTCTGTTCAAACTTGCATGTGAAAAATTATTTTTGTGTACTTTAGACAGGAGCAAGCATCTCTCGAAACACCTCCCGTGTTTTCAAACAAAGGGTGGTATTTCTTAATGGAAATTTAACTGGGCACAGAAAAGGACTGAGATGGATTAGGGTCAAGTGGAAGACATTTCAGGGGGGAAAAAAGAGAACACCGCATCACTTTTACAGAATTTGTCAAATTATTTTGTGTTTGCTTTGGTATGCACTCACTTACTGTCACTTTTGTTATGACCAGTGAGGGCAGCAATAGAGAACTGAAGCAGTTCGTGCTTGAAAAAAGAAGGATAACAAGGGGCTTAATAGAACTTTTCTAAATCTTAAGTAGGGTAAATAAAGCACATGTCTATCATTATAAGACACTGGTTTTAGATAGCAGGGCATAAAGTTTATGGATGGCATAGGAAGAGTAAGAACAAGGACTGTTGGCACATTAAGAGCATAAAATAAAATCCTGGAGGAGAAGCAGACATAGACATGCCAGACAACAGACTGGAGTTGCCTTCTGTCACTAGGATCTTTTGCTTTACTTACCTTCTCATCAAGTGAGCTACTCAAGACCTCCAACTAAAAGGTTTTTAGTATTTGGTACACAAAACTGCTGATCTCACAGCTCTAGTTATAGTTTCTCAGCTTCCTACCCTGCAGTTAGCTTTCCGATCTTATCACCAGAGCTAGAGCTTGGAAAGTCTCCAACAGGACTTGTTTTTGTACAATCAAATTTTGTGAACTGTCTGGGGACAGACAGTCCCCAGACAGGAGCTAAAGAACTAGGTGACAGCAGCATCATCACCTTGTAGCCTGATCTTAGGTTCTCAGAAGCTAAACAAAGCTGGGCCTGGTCTGTACTGGGATAGGAGTCCTCTGGAAAAAGC